TTTAAAAGACGCAGTATGCCATTGCTCTATTTGCACAACTGCCTCTTTATCCATGTTCAAGTTCCAAATGAGCACAAAAAGGTGTTCTGGAATTTTCATTCATCTCAAGGCTATCCATAATTTGTTATGGTTCACAATAGAATGCCTTTGCATAGTTAACAAAACACAAATAAACATCTTCCTGAAATTCTCTGCTCTCAACCAAGATCCATCTAACATCAGCAATGATATCCTTTTTCCATGTCCCTTCTGAATCCATTATGAATTTATAGTAGCTTCCTGTCAATGTACGGTTGTTACCATGTTTGGATGATCTTCACTTAAAAGTAGCCTTTAACATGGGACATGTGGTAACAAAAATGGCATTGCCAGTTTTTTTGCCTGGGTTTAAGTGACCAATGAGTCAGTGAAATTCAGTGACATTCTCACAGAAAACTCAGGGAAAGGGAAGCCACTGCCCTGGGGAGAAGAAGAATTTCTTCTCATTCTATTAGTTTAATTGGACTAGAATTATTAGGCCTATGTACTTTGAAATGATTTGTCCCTTTACTATAAACTAGTTTATGAACTCATAGATTAAGGCAATGTATTTGATGTCAGCAACGCATTTTAGTGAATTTATTCTTTAAAAACTCTGTAATTCAAGGTTATATTATTGATAAGTTGAGATTGATCACTAATTCTATTAATTATGGATTTATATTCAATATAAACGTCCCATTTTCTTCAATATATATTTATCTTCCATTATTCACTGCCATGTTACTTGTTACCAATTTTTGTGTTTGGGCCTGTTTTATAATTTTCTTTACATTTTAAATAAACACAGTCCCATATTTTTACCATTGCATTACTAGAATAGTAAAGATAAATTTGTTTGTTGTTGTTGTTATGGTTGTGTGTTCTCCTGTAATTCTGACTTACAGTGTCCCAATATAAGAATGTAGAACTGCTCAGCCAGGTTTCAAAGCCTGTAATCTTTACAGGAGGGGATATCAAGCTCTTTTTCCCCAAGAGAGGCTGTTGAGTATCAACTACTGACCTTTTGGTTAGCTGCTAAAGACATAATCATGATGCTGCCCAAGTACACTTATCCAGGGCTAAGGTCTGTGTCTGCATGGTGTTTCGTGGCGATCCTCTCCGCTTTATCTTTTTCATAGCTCGGTACCATTCCTTTACTATTTAGCTTTAAACTTCATTTTAATAACGAAGTTGAGCTTTTATTAGTGCAATCAGATTACCTTCATCTTTAAATATAAAAGGCTAAAATAGTTGAATAATTTACAATTATTTTGCTAAATTATGTTATATTTTCAGTAATCACTTCTTAATTTTTATGGTACTTATTGTTTATCATTATTTCTTTTGTTATTCATTTAAATTATGTATTACTTGAATTTTATCTTTGCAATTAATCAAATCTGTATTTATAGATTTCTAGGGGTTTATGTATGATTTTATTTAGGTGTTTAGATATATAATTTTGAGTTAAAATAATAATATTTTTTACTTATCTTGGTTGAACAAACAAGTAATCTGTCTATATCTATCTATCCATTGATCTATCTATATTTAGCTGTCATTACATTCCTCTATCTACTTAAATATCTTCTATTTGAAAATTTTATTTAGGGGCATAATGTAGTTTTGAATTGTTGTTAGCTGCGATAGAGTTGGCTGCAACCCATCGGGACCCTATATGCCTGAGACATTGATGCAGCTACTGTGTCAATCCATCTCCTTGAGGACCTTCCCCTCCTGCACTAGCCCTCCACTTTATCAAGCATGATGTCCTCCTTCAGGGACTGGTCTCCTAAAAACATGTCCAAACTATGCAAAATGAAGTCTTGCCACCCTTGCTTTTAATAAGCATTCTGATCTCACCTTTTCCAATGCAGATCAGCTTGTCCTTTTAGAAGTCTATGGTACTTTGCATATTCTTCTCCAGTACCACAATTCATATGCATCTAGTCAACTGTGGTCTTCCTTATTCAATGTCCAACTTTCACATGCATATGAAATACCATGGCTTGGGTCAGGCACACCTTAGTCATCAAAAGAACATCCTTGCTCTTTAACACTCTAAACAGGTCTCCTTGAGCAGATGGACCTAATGCAATACATCTTTTCATCTCTTGACTGCTGCTTCCATGAGCATTGATTGTGTAACCAAGCAGGACCAAATCTTTGGCAACTTTAATATTAATTTTCTCTACTTGTATGAATTTTGTTATTGGTCCAGGTCTGAGGATTTTGCTTTTCTTTGAGTTGTAATCCATACTGAAGGCTGCAATCCTCGATCTTCATCTACAAGTACCTTAAGTCCTCCTCACTTTCAGAAAGCAAGGTTGCATCATTTGCATACTGCAAGTTCTTAATAAGCATTCCTCCAATCCTGACACTGCACTCTTCTTCATACAATTCAGCTTTTTTGAGTATTTGCTCAACATAGAGAATGAACAAGTATGGTGAAAGGATACAACCCGATGGACACCTTCCTGATTTTTAAACCAAGCAGTATTCTCTTGTTCTGTTCCTACAACTGCCTCTTGGGCCACATACAAATTCATCATGACCTTCCACTTGTACTTGGCTCCCCACTTTGGTAGAAGAAGCTGCTGAAAACCTTACACATAGCTTAGAAGTTTTGAATACAATTATTATATTTAATCTTACAACTTATTTTGAATCTTTAATATTTTAGTTAAAGTATAGCATATCATCTGTATGCACTTGTAGATGTGTATAATATTGTAGTATACTAGTAGAGTATTCTGCTAGAGTTATTACTTTATTATTTTTCTAATGGTAACAGCCCCTGTTTGGTGGTTTAATTCTAGCTATATTTTAAAGTGTGGCTTTGTTTAAACATACATCTAACACACTTGAAATTTGCAGTAGCATTTAAAGTATTCTCTCTTTTTCTTTACGTGTGTATTGTGGTTTATATCTTAACAAATATAATGCTTTATATTTTTAAGGAAAATATGAGAAGCTTTTATTCTGAATTCTTCTCTGTAAACTATTTATAAATAACTTTAATTTATAATAGTGTGATATGCATTATGATGTTTTATTTGAATGATGACTTCTCTGTATTCAGTTATCTTTAGTAAAAATCATTTTCTCAAACTTTTATAACCCTTATTTATTTATTTATCTTATTATGTGCAAGACAATTTGTGGGTTATATATATTTTGTAGTCAATATCAAAAAAAATCTACCTGGGTAATTTTAAATTTTATCCTCAATATTAACCTTCAGAACTACAAGCATATCTATAGCTTTAAAGATATATTTAATGAGTACATTATTCTGCTATAATTGTTGGTTCATTCTTTTAATAGTCACAGCTCTTGATTGGTGTCTTTGACCACAAACACTCTCTTCTCCTATGAGATTGAAGATGTTACCCCCAATTCTCTAGCTTTCCTAAACTTTCTGCATAATTGTAAATAACTCCTTTATGAAAACTCTTCTCAGATTGACTGATTATTAAGTGCCATAGTTATTTTGTTTCACTTTTTGCCTGAACTTTAACTGATGCCTTATGTTAGAAAGAGAACATGCTACTTGTATGTTGCATGAACCCTGCTATTTAGAAGTTATGTAACTCTGTAAAATTGCTTACTATCATTAATTTGGTTTCTCCATATATAATTGGGTCAAATAATACACAACTTATAGACATATTGCAAGACTAAAAATACACAAAAAACAAATAAGCCAAAGTAGACATAAAATGGGTAATATCTTGCATAACTATTATTTTTTATTGGTCAAACAATCTCAGTTAAAAAAATACACACAAACAATAAAACAAAACTAAGCAAAAACCCTCACCAAATATCAAGATGATTCCAACTCAAAGGACCCTATAGGATAGAATGAATCTGCCCCTGTGCATTACTGAGAATTTTATGGGATGCTAATGAGAGTAGAAAGCCTCATCTTTAGAATGAATGATAAATGCATGTGTCGATAGGTAAAGAAATATAATATTATCTCTGAGTGACTTTATAGAAGCTTTCATTCTGCCCCCAATATAAGGGAATATGAAATAGTTTCCAAACAATATTTAATGGTAACCATTTAATAGTAAAAATACAGAACATCAATCCCCATTCAGCATTGTAATTCACAATACTTAAAATGAATAAAAACCAAATATTTATTAAAAAATTACACCTGGCAAAATAGAAAAGGCAAAATGTATGTAGTGCTCAAATTCATTAAGTATTTTCCATTTGCTGCAACCCACTACATAGGGGTAATGGATCAAAATGTGTTCTTATTTTTCCACATAGCCTTATATAATGATCTTAAATAAGGATCAAAGTGATCTATTGTAGCTGAAGTTTTACCGTGCAGATATATATTTTTACCTTTGTACAGTATTAGCTTCTTCCAATCATTGCCAAGCATGGGCTACTTTCAAAGCACTTACTATTCAAATCAACAACACTGTGACACTGGTATTAGGTTTAGTCAACAAATGTAGTGTAAACTTAAATATTAGTATCGACATGGATTCTACCAATATGTGTTATATGTTTTCTGAGATGCATGAACAGAGCTCTGATTTTTCCACTGCTGAATTTCAATATCACTGTAGATATTTGAGATCTTTTTAAACTTTATAGCTAATTTTGCTCCCAATGTGTTTTTTGTTTTGTTTTGTTTTTTTCATGTACTAATCTTAAATAACACATGCAGGACTGCTTCAAATTATGCATATTTTCAATAAGGATCTTTCAAAGAGTAAAATGCATATAAAATGTGTAATTATATTTTGTTCCATCTTGTAAAATTTATGCATTTTGAAAATTCTAATAAAGACATTTTATGCCAAACCATGAAAGATGAGAGAGGAGAAAAAACTAGTCTCAGTAATTTATTATAATATTTTATTTCAAATATAATCAATTGATACTCAGAAGTTGGGCCATACTTCATTAGCTTATCAAACAAGTTATTATCTATTTATTTATTCATTTTTCAGGGGAGAGCATGAACACAGTCCCCTGCTACCGCAAATTATGCAGTCCAGTTTCCCACATTTGGGGAAATCGCAGGGGTCAGGACATCCGGGCTGCAATGGATAAGCCTCGCCCTGGGAAAACCACCTTCATGATCATGGTGTCTCCCTGCCAGGCAAGTATTCACACGTGTCATTTTAAGTGAGCAAGTACACTGTACCAGGGTGTGCTTGCGCTGAGCACTTGTTACTCGGCATCATCAAGTCTGTGCTGGCTAATAGCAACTTACGTACAACAGACCAAATCACTGCCCAGATCTGTACCATGGCTACTAAAATCATTTTCTGTGTCTGAGTTCATTTTTGCAGTCACTGTATCAACCCATCAGTAGTTAATTATGATTTTATAAATGAAGAGATTGAGCCAACATGTACTTTAACATTAAAGTACATACAAAAATGTTAAACAGAATAAGTAAAATTCAAAATAGTATAATTTTATATTTCACAGTCTTAAACACAACACTTTATCCTGAAACTCAGTACTGTTTTTCTTTTATAGTATCTCAAAGCTAAGATGAAAAATCGATTCCTCAGCTCAGATATTAAAGCAAATATGGTAATGTGGCATTTTCTAAAATATTGTCAGCTCAACACTTCTGTTACAGGTTTATTGTGCTCACCTGGGCAATAGGAACATGTGAGATTAATTTGATTGGAGGGCAAAGAGGTACATGGCTCTATAAGGCCTGACCCTCTCTCTTGCTCTCTGGTGATCAGAGTCTACTGTGCTGGTGCATTAGCTAGACCTAGGCCTCAACCTGTGAGCCACACTCCCTGTGGGACAAGCAAGCCTGTGGATCATGTTGCTAGAGCTTGCGTCTCCTTCTCGACCTGCTTCATCACATTGCTAGTGCATGCATCACTTGAGCTTGAGGCTGGTGGATCCTGTCACCTTGCATTGCTTGTGTTCGATATCCCCATCCTGGCCTGCTTTGATAAGCTCCTGAGCTACTGACTATTAGTGACCCACCCTACTGTTTGCTGCCTGTGGAGAGACTCTGCTTGCCTTGCCTGAGGGAGGAATCCGCTGTCTTCTTCCTTGACCTTGGACCTGGCAGCCCATGTTAGTGGAAGAACTCCCAATATGTTAAATGGTCCCCGGAAGTGAGTTGAACTGACACCTCTGTATTGCTGTGTGAACTAATTAGCTATTATGTTCCTTCTCACTGTATAGACCTAATTAGCTATTATATTCCTTCTCACTGTATAAACCTATCCTCTTATGTACATATAATCATTTGTGTCCTTGTTTTGTTCATACAACTTCCTTTCAATTTAAATGAAATTATATAAATGTTTGGGAACTCCAAGATCTAGAAGTACCCTCTTAGAAGGAAAGACACAATTACAACATAGTCATTGTTGTTTGGAGGCTTTTATATTTTAAGGACTCATCCATAAATCAATATTTGGAATGAAAAAATATACCCTTTACTTATAATGTTGACTTAAATATTAGATTAAATTTATAGTATTTCCTTGAATATGTTTTATAACATTATAAATAATTTTAATGTGGAAAAATTGTAATGTTTTGTTCAAAATGACAATGCGATGTTGAATATTACCTCTAGTTCTGTGACTTGGGGACAGGTAGTACCTCATGAGATGTGAACATAATACCTAGGTAAATGACCGCAGGAATGACCATGGGAATGTATAATGACCCAATGCCAGGATATAGTTTATGGCATAAATGGAGTTGTAATCTGTATTGAAGGCTGTATTCTTTAATCTTCATTAGTAGGTGCTTCAAGTCCTCCTTAATTTCAGTAAGCAAGGTCTTGTCATCTGCATACTTGAGGTTGTTAACAATCCTTCTCCAATCCTGAAACAATGTTCTTCAGGTACTCTAGCATCCCAAATTATTAGTTCAGCATACAGATCGAATAAGTATGATGAAAGGATGCAACTTTTATTCAAATTTATGCAATGTTCACTAAACCCAGTGATGAAGAAATCAAAGAAATCTACAAATTTCTGAAGTGTGAAATTTATCAAACGTAATACAGATGCATTGTGAAGCACTGGTGTTTGGAAGGCAAAAATTGGACCTAGGAAGTATGGGAGTTGAAAAATACCATTGGGGAGATTTAAATGATGCTGAAGACCTCATGATAGAC